AACCTTATAAATCAGTCCCTTATAATTAAAAGCAAAATTTTTCTAACACAACCTTCCAAGTAGTTATAAGCGACTTTATAGGGAACAGTTTGGCACAACTGTTGCTGCTGAATTTGCTTTAGTCTGCATACTGGTTGAGCGATAATCTTAAAATAAGTGTGAATAAAAGAAATGCTTCCGACCTGGCGTAGAGTAACCAATATTTAAGCTAGCCTTTTCTTTTAACTGTCGTTAAAAGTTCCAGTCTGGCTCTAAAAATTTTATTATGGTTGAAAATCGCTTACTACATGAAAAACGGAGATTTTTTTTTTTTAAGTGGACGATAATAATTTTATTCGTGTAACGTTTATATTGAATGACACTTGATCTGCAATGTCCCGCGACTAATATGATTATCCCAATGTGTTGTGTCACATATTATATAATAGTAATAGTGACTGAAGTTACACGATCCAGATTTAAAAAATTTTCAATTTTTAATATTTTAAAATTTTAAAATGTTGCGAACAATGTAAAAATTCTATAGTTTATCTATTATATATTTTTTCCAATCAAAATCATTAAATAATAACAACGACCTTTTGATTTTGATTTTTTTAAAAAAAGCAAGCCAAAGAATGCTAGATCAAAAAGAGCGTTAAAAAAGCGCGAACCTAAAGTTGAAGAAAATGTCAAGAAAGCAATGTTTTTAAAAACTATCCAAACAAGTCAAACAGTTAGAGATGCTTTAAAAGATCTTGTAAGTTTCGTTGTCAATTAATTATAATAATGAAATTTTATATCTTTTCAACTATATTAATCTCATATTAATGTAAATTGAAGTACTGTCTTAAAAAACCAGATGGAATAAATTTTTTAAAGAAAAATCACATACTTCCGTTTGAGGATGAGACATCATTAGAATTTTTTTCTCAGAAAAATGATTGTTCGTTGTTTGTGGTTGGATCACATACCAAGAAACGACCCGACAATTTAGTATTTGTTAGGATGTATGATGGACAAGTTTTAGATATGGTTGAAGTTGGAATAGAGAATGCAATTCCAATGAGTAGTTTCAAGGTTCTTGACTAATTTAATATTTTCATATATTTATATTATATTTTGCATACACTTGCTTATTTTATTATTGTTCCCAATAATATATATATATATATATATGTATATATATATGAAATAGACATCCAAGTGCGCAATAGGAATGAAACCCTTATTTATATTTAATGGAGATTTATTTGATACATCAACTACACATCAAACATTTAAAAATATGTTATTGGATTTCTTTCGAGGACAAAAATCAGATTCCATAGCTTTATCAGGTTTAGATCATATAATATCAGTTTCAGCGGTTGAGACGACCACCAATGATGGAAAAGTTGGAAAAATATATTTTAGAGTTTATAAGATTCATACTGAAAAATCAGGACAAAAAATTCCTAGAGTAGAATTGGAAGAAATGGGACCTAGTTATGATTTTGTGATCAGAAGAACTAAATTTGCTAAAGAGGAAGTTTATAAAGCGGCAATTAAAATACCAAGAGAATTGAAGGTTAGATTGATTATTATTAATTGAAGAGGCTTTATTGAAAAAAAAAACAAACAATTTAATTTTTAAAATCAATTTTTTTTTTTTTTTAGCCAAGGAAAAAGAAAAATATCGATGTTAATGAACTTAATGATAAAGTGGCACGTATTCATCTTGGAAGACAGGATTTTAATAAGATTCAAACAAGAAAAATGAAAGGTCTTAAAAGATCATTAAAAATGGATGATAGTGGGGATGATGATAAGAGTGACAAAGAAGTCAACGATGCTGATGTTAAAGATGAAAAGGTGGATTTGACAATAAAGAAACAAAAAATCAATTAAAATAGATTATTGTTATTAAATTTTTTTTACAGAATAAAAGGAATCATTGCTTTTCTATTCTTTGGATAATTTCTAAATTCTATATGACAGCTTTTATGTTTCTTGATGGCCCAAAAATACATTTGAATAAATCCAATAAATGTGAAAAGATATGCTAAAGAAAAAAAATTAGAAAAAAAAAAAATTATATAAACGTGTAGTTTAAATAAAGGTTATAAATATTAAAATTAAATATATAAAATAATATTTGCCTACCAGCAAATGAATTTGTCAAGATAGAAACACTTGTCCAAGCTAAAACTTCAAAAAAATAATTAGGACAAGTGACAAAATCAAATCCATAACCATAATAATAACGATTGCGAGTTCCAGGTGGACAAATATCACGTAAAGTGATATGGGTCGCGAAATTAGAGATTTGCGAGAACTTTTATTAATCAAAAAAAAAAAAATAATCAATAATTAAATTATAAGCCTTTTTTTGATTATACGTCTATGAATCAACCTTTCCACGAAAGTTATAATATACTTTTGTCCTATTATATAATTTTTTTTTTGTGTGTGCAGATAGAAAGATTATTTTTAATACATCTATCTATTCATCAAAACCTATACATGTTCGAGTACAGTCAAACCTCGTTTCAACGAATTATAATTAAATTCGCGTTACAACGAATTTTTGCTTGTATTGATAAAAAATTTACTTTGAGTTATTGTTTCTTTCTGCAGCAGGTTCTCTTCTTATTCATCGGATCATCAATTAATCATTTTACACATAATAAATAATACATTAATTACCCCAAAAAGTAGGACACAAAACCAAACCAATTTATCGTCACGTTCGGCAGTTTTGGTACCATCAGCATTCCAAGGTCCATATACCCAGTAAGCTAGATTAAATCCACTAAATAAATAATAATAAAAAGAATTTTTGAATACATTGACGATAGGCATGGTCCTACGAGAGAATCGATGAACAAACAAAGTTTCCAATTCTCTTTTAATAAAATGTCCTAGGATCATGTAATACCCAAACCTATATCATGAGATTGAGCGTGAATGTGAGTGTGATAAAAGATTTGTCGATTGTAAAATTTGTATATATATATCAATATCTTACGTTTGCATTTCACTATGTTTAAAGTTTTGACCATAAATTATTGAATCAAAATTATAAAAGATTGGATGAATGATTAACGGGCCCAAATATTCTATCACGAACACTGATCGCCAACACATTTGAGGACCTTTATTAAAAGGATATAAATAAATTATTATGCACATTATGTAAATGACCCAGTAGATTTATTTATATAATTCATACCCAAATCCTTGAAAAAGATTGTGTCATCCTCTTTGATACCATATTCCTTTAAGGTTTTTTCTTCGGATAAAGGTTGTTTAGAAAAAGTCAAGTGTTGTCTTTCTGGATAGTAGATATTATACTTTTCATATATGATTGTTTTCAATTGGCCAACGGTGGCATTTCCAGAGATTTCTATAATTGTAGGAAACTTTTGTGATTTTTCTGAATATGTAGCGATTGTTAATTTCATTTTTTCAAAAAATGATTTTTTAATAAATAATTAGGTAGACTTGAAAGATTTTAAATATGATACCTTTTGTGAATGGCAGTATGATTTAGATAATTCATGATACAATTTCCAGAACACTATAATCAGTATAAGAAAATGTTACAAAAAAATATAGTGAATTTTGCGATATATGCACATAACCCATTTTCATATATATATATATATATATATATATTAAAAATTATTTTTATTCCTTATTATTATGAATGGTCTACGTATATAATATTAAGAAATTGAAAATTAAAACGTTAAAAATATTTTTTTTGTTTGTATTTATCAACTGTTTGATTATTGATTTCATTAACTGTTTGACAATCTGCTTTATTAACAATAGTAATTTTTAAACTGGAAACCTAATACCGAACACTCGTAAGTTTCTATGTGAAATCGTGTAAGAATTATGTCGGGCTTGTAATCCCTACACAACAATTGCATAAGATTACAAGCCTGATGCAATTCTCACATAGCGATGGTTTTTACCATGGTAAAAACAATCATGGATTACCATCTATGACAATTTACGTGATTTTATTGTATTGATCATTTAACAGTGTTTGTGTCAACCTTTTCCTAGATGGTAAAAATAATAAAAATCCTCGACTATTGTTAAAGGAAGAAGATCTGCGCCCAAAATAACTTGTAAAAGAAATCCATTATTTCTTCCTTTTCTTCTGGTGAACATTGATTTTTGCTCATGTTTTTAAAAATAGATAGATTTCTTTGATATAATTATTATTAATTTTATCCTTCTAGAAAATAATGATGTGGAGTTGCGTACAATTCTTTTTCGATCATAGATCCATCCAAAGAATAAAAGTATGTTAATAGTAGTCTTATTACAACAATATCAACTAGAATATTTTGATTTAATTATTTTTTTTTTTTCTTTATATGGTCGCGTAACAGATCTGGGGGGTTTTTTTTGAAGAAAGAAATCAAAAATATAAGTAATAATAAATAATAATAATAGATTTAACGACACAAAGACAATTATGATGATAATATATTACTAAATTACGATGCTCCAAAGACTTTAGTCGTAGTTGATTTCAATTAAATTTATTATTTAACGATTTATTTAAAGCACCTACATCTTCAAAAGTTATGTTTCTTCAAGTAGTTGTCTCAAGTAGTAATAGTTTGTGTTGTTGAATCATAAATAAATTTATTATTTACTTTTTATTTTTCTTTAAATTTATTTGGTTTTTTCTTAGTGAAAAACATGCAAACAAAAATATTTATATGAGTTATGAAATTTGCATACATCCTTATTTTTTTAATATTAAGTGCAAATTTAAGATCCCTACATTTCTATTTAGGAGTGCATTTTATATTTAACGTTTTATAGGGCGGTTGTCATATTCACTGCTATTAATTGTTTTTGCAATAAAACCATTCGATCTTAAAAACATTTCGATTTCAAATCCAAAGATCGTCTCAAAATTTCGAAATATCACGCACAAAACTTGACAATTTTGGTGTCTCCCGGTCCCTTTTTATCGATTTTGAGTAACATTATTATTATTATTATTTGCTATGCCGAATAAATTACAAACAATTTCAATTTTCAATTTTGATTTCAGCAAATGATGTGGCCCGGTTTAGTATTGATGTGGAAACTGTTTAGGGAGTGCAAAAGAGTTTAGAGTCACAGTTTTGATTTTGACTTTAGTTCGATTTTCGCCAATACTAATACTAATACTAAAAGGCATCTCGATTTCGAAACTAGCTGAAAATTTTGATTTAATTTCGCTATCATAACCATGTATGACGTTCACAAATTATAACAGATAATAATAATAATAAGGTTCGTTTTTGTAATTTGTTTATATTTATATTAGTGAAACCAAAGTATTATTAGTATGCAAGATGTTTAATATTCCACGATAATCTATTCTTTCAATATTAAAATAAAAAATAGTCAAATTAAACGGATAATATTTTTTCATCGTCCGTTTTTAAATCATCTTAAAGATGGTAAATCCGGATTACACTCGTTCCTATATGCTACTTTCTCAAAAAAGAAAATCATTTGATTGATTTTATTTTACTAAATGTAAAAAATAATTGATTTTTTCTTTGAAATGGCGAATTTACGAATTAAAATGACATTTAAGAAGGTTGGCGGATTTGTGTTATAGAAAGTGCTTGCCAATCATTACGGTACATATATTATTATATTATATATACTGTATATACATAATAGAAGGCATTTCTCATTATTTTCGTTATTTTTACGATTTATAGAAATGGAAGAAGGTACAGCGTCAATAGAACATCTTGAGTCTATACAGATTTATACATCATCTTCAAATTCAAATGATAATACATCATTGTTATCAATTCAAACAACGTCCATTGAAGCTACCATTATTCCTTCATCACCAATACCAACTCAAAACAGAACTAGAATCAACAACCAATAGCGGTACTTCTATAATATGATTTTACTACCTGGTCACGACGAGGTAACAAAATAGCATTCATCCTTTATTATTATTTTTTGTTTAATATTATTACTATTATTATTATTCTTATTGAACGGTGAATATTTAATTTGCTAATCCATTATATTTGTTAAGCGCAAGAAGGAAACCTTTTCTATTATTGGGTAGTTTCAATATCAATTTCATATGAAAAGAGTTAATTTTCCATTAATTGTTAAAAAAAATGTGTAACAAACACGACATTCGTATGCGGTTGAACGCTTAGAATATACTTGTTATTATTATATATACAAAAATGATGTTATTGCACGAGTCTTGGGTGAAAATATAGTGTACGTAAGTTTTTAATCTGTAGGTTTGCAGTATATAAATTTCTAGTTCCAATTGATTATTAGTCTTGATGTTTTTTATTTTATTTAAGCATAGCAACACAAAAAATTAATAATATATTGAATGAATTTATACTATATAGGTCTAAAAAAAATTATATAGTAATAGGTATGATCCACCTCTATTTTTTGTATTATTAAAAAAGAAGAATGTGAAAGTGAAATATTGCAACTCTGTATTTTTCCATTTTCTTTTAATAAAAAAAAAATTTTTTTATAATTAATGATGTTGTTTAATGCTTCTATTCGTTTTTATATATTTGAATATCCAGAATACTTTTAAATTTTTGACTTAAATTGATAAAATTTCCTAATAAAAACGACATCAGTAAACAAATTTAACATCTATTAAATTTTAAATTTCGAATAATAAATAAAGAATACGATAAAAAGTAAACATAATAATAATAATAACAAATAGATAATAATTAACAGCCAAATAAATAAAATATCAAGATTATGAACGTGTTTTTTTTATGTAACTAAAAAATAAACGGGATTAATTTCTCTCTTAAAAAAAAAAACTGGTTAATTATACTTCTAATTTAACCCTTTAAAAAAATACACCAAAGAAATAAAAAATATAAATCAATAATTATAAATTATAAATTATACATACATATATATATAATCTTAATTATTCCTTGGAAGCCAGGAAGCGTTGTCAAGTTGTGTCCAATAATGGTACTTGAATGGAATTAATATGGCCATAATTGGGATAAAATGGGTAAATGAATTAACATTAATTAATATCAATTATGAATCAATGTAATGCTGCCGGTATCTCTATTTAATCTGTTTGTCTTGAAACCTTTCTGTATTGTTGGTACTGTACAGCCGTTTATAAGCGAAATTACATAATATTGTCAATATATTGATAAATATCTAATATTAAAAAATTTTTTATTATACATACACACTAATTAAAAAAAAAATCAATAAATTTTATCTAATAAACAACTTGAAAAAAAAAAAAGTCTATTGCTACAATCTAAGTTTATTCTCATCATCATTGTTATATATAAATCTATCATTTTTTTTACCTCTCCACCTACTTTGCAACCTCCTTTAAAAAAAAAAATTCCAATCCAAGTTACTCTTTTCCTTTGGATCATACGTATAATATCATTACTGGACATTCCATAACTTATATATTACCAAGTACCCTTAGGGATTTCTTTTATATATATATATATATATATAATTAGATTTAAGACTAATAAAAACCTTTATACTGCCTTCTTCAAAGTTAATATCATTATTCAATTAGTCAAATGACTTTTGTCTTTATTATACGACCATGTATCATAATGATATTTTCTTTATATAAATCAGTAAAGTCATTAGCAGCATCAAATATCAGATTGTATTCTTTTTTTAATTCATGAAACCATATTTTTTTGTCAGAATCCATATTGTTCAATTGACTATTGTTATGACTGCGATCATTGTTGTCGTCGTCTTTTTTTGCTTCTTCATATTGGTGTGTTATTGGCTCGATGTTGAATACTCTTGGTAAAAAAATATCAAAAAAAGGTTTCAACGTAGTGGCCTCATTTGATTTTCTCAACAGTTGTAAATGGAAGGTCTCGAATGGTACATGGTGTTTGCAATAATCATCATAGGTTGAAAGAATTTTTTCGGCAAAATTTTTAATTATAACTGGGGTTTTCTTAGAATGATAAGGCATTGATTCTATGTCAATCCATACTTTGGACAAGATAATATCATGGAAACATAGTCTTGTAATTATTGAATTTGCATTGAAATTTATTAATATCCAATTATAGAGAGAGCTTCTTAAAGTAAGTGTCCTTGTACGATTTATTGGGTTTTCAATATTTGAATTTATAAACTGGTTGATGTTATCATATAGTAAATTTTGACAATTAATAAAATAGTCATCGTTAACTTCTTCCTCTATAGATGATGAAGTATCTTTATCATCTTTATCATCTATATCATCTTTCGCGATGAAATTATTGTCTACGTTCTGACAAATGGGATTATTGTCTACAGAGTTCTGATGAACGGATTTATTGTCTACAGAATTTTGACGAATGGAATTATTGTCTAGAGAGTTTTTACGAATGTAAGTATTATCTCCAGTGGTTTGATGATTGAAATTATTGTCTTCGGTGTTTTGAATTTTAATGTTTTTGCTGTTAGATGAAGAAGATAACGAAATCTCTTCTTTTTTCTCTAAATCGTCAAATTTTCCCTTAGTCTCTGTATCAAAATCAAACAAATGACAAACGATCGTTTTCAAAAATACAGAATCTAATCCACGTCCATTTTTATCGCGCCTCAAAAAATCCAAAACTTTGCTCTTTACTTCTCTGTCAGCTTGGGTCATCTCAATCAAGCATTTCTGAATTATATCAATTTTTGGTTCATTCCTAACCTCGCAAAAAGATTCTAACATAATAGAATCGCCAATCGTATCAAGTCGATTTTCGCAAAAACATAAAATGTTAACCATCGCAGCTTTCGTTAATTTGAAACCAACCCTAATGAGATCACGCAATTGATTTACAACTATTTTTTTACTCGGGTCATTCCAGCCAACAGGAGTATTTAATGGAAAAAGTCTTAAAATGCAGCCTTGAATAACCAAATCGTTAACATCTCTACAAATGTCATAGTAGCCTATCTCTTTCCACATGTCTATAATACTATTTTCTAATAAAATTGCTCTTGCAATAATATGAAGATGTCGATTGTTCTCGTAGCCATCTTTTGCTGGAAACTCTTCCTTATTAATGATCTGCATTGTTCTAAAATATTCACTTGTGTCCTCAAATTTAATTTTTGGCCTTGGAGAAAACGGTGTGAATTTTTGATTGACAATGAGATCACGAATTTCATCCAAGTTTTCCTTAATTACCCGAGCTGCTTGGTCAATAGGCAACTGCCCCGAGCTTAAAAAATGAAACTTTTCAATATCATTCCCTTTTAGAGGCAAATTTGGTCCAAATCTTGCTTCGGCTTCGTTTAACAAAGCAATAAACACATCGAATGATATCTCCGATGACCACGGAGTCTTTATACTGTTTTGAAAAGCTTTGAAGTTTTCTCTATCTGTTTCTTGAGAATTATTATTATTGTCTTGTAATTTTAATTTAATCAATTCTTCATCATATTTGCCGTACTGTAGTAATAGTCGTTGTACGAAATATCTAGATAGATTTGCTTTTAATGCTAGTAAAGAATTTAGAACATCGACTGTAATAAAAGTTTTCCCCAGTAATATAGAGTAAAACAACACGTGGATGCGGCCAAATTTAGATAATGCCCACAGCGATTTTGCCACGGGACTAGTATACAGCCTATGAAATTCTTTATTAACAAGAATAAGCGAAATTGGGGTGTCGATATACTTGAATATTTCTATAAGTAGTTCACTAGGAAGATTTTCCATATTGAAAATAAAAAAGAAAGATTACATTTTTTGTCATTTTTAGGGCTGTTTATATATTTGATTTCTAAATAATAACGCTAATTGGTTATTGTTATGGTAAATGACGTGATGTAAACATTTTGCCAAAAAGAAATTGTTCCTATACTACCGACTATGCACAATAAATATAAACGGGAAATAAAAATGGTCATTTACTACTATGAAGTCATTGTAAAAAGAAAGGCCAATAAATCCACAAAAAAATAATGCAATAAATAGCACCAATGACGATTAGTTTACTCCAAAGTATATATGATATATACATATCTATAAGAGAAACCACGTGTTTTTCCAATGTATAGAATAATAATTAGGATATTAATATGTTCATTAAAAACAATGAGAATTTTTTATTGTTTTGAAAAATTCCATTTTTATATAGGTATATAATAATACAAAAAATAACGGTATATTTAGAATTATTCAAAATCGTTTAACTAAAATGAAAAATTCCAAATATAATAGAAAAGAGATTCAAAATGATGACGAATCAATAATATTTTGATTGTGATGATGATTATTAAAAAAACGAAAGTTTTTTTCATTTGATAAAAGTTCAAGTGAAAAAAAATTGCTTGCCAAAACCTATGCGTAAATATATTATAAAAAAATAACTTTCATATGAATAGCTTGAGGTCTTGGCTATATCTTGGTATCCAAAAAGAAATAATAAAATAAAGAGGAGTTATGTTAGCCAAGTGACCAAGCAAGCTTTATTTACAATGATTGCGCAACAGACTCTGAGCTAACGCACTCAAAATATGAGTATCCTCCACTTTAGTGGGTCATTCCACACACAATATGATCAGTTCCGTTACTGGATTTTTAAGTAAAGTAAGTAGACTTGCTTTGTGATAATAGCAGTGTTAGTTACAAGTTTTGTGATAATATTATTAATGGTTGTGTTGTGAAAAAATTTGACAAGGAATCAAAAGAGTATGTCTTTATAATAATAAAGCAAACGGGCAGCGCGACAGACAAATTTCCAATTTTGAGAAAATTAAAATGTTTAATCTGCTGTCAAACGTAGATGAGATATTTATAAGTGTGACGACAACAAGACTACAAGATTATATACGCCAGATTAGATATGGGAACAATTGGCCGCAATCAATCGCAAAGCCATTTTCAGCCCAAATGATTTATTATCATTCATTTTAGGTAGGTGAATGGATATTATTATTTTTCTTTTTAAAAAGTTCATTTGGTATCAAGTGATGGATGAACTTTTTCTTTTAAAAAATTCATTTGGATGGATGATGAGTTTTTATTAATAATAAATAGTTTACTCATACATTTAATTTTCAACTTTTATTTATAAATTAAAAAATAATAATACTTCAATCACAGAATTAATTTAATTCTTCTTAAAAAAAATTAAAAACAAATCTAGTTAATAACCAACCATTCACGATCAATCATTGGATATGTGGATAACACGATAAATAAGATGCTCGTCTTCTTTTCAATTTTTTAATTTTAACGAATTTCCTAATTATTGACATGGTACTATTTTCATGTATTTCTTGTATCATTGTCTCTGAATTTGTTCTAAATGCCTTGAAATTAGGCCCGGAAATTCATCATGATCAAGTTTGCAAGCAGCTATTTCAGTCAATGAATTGCCCCCGTCTACAAATCGATTTCATATTTGCTCATTTATTTATTTAATTTAATTACAGGGTGCTGATTTTTGGAATTAATTATCGCAGGTAGAATTTTACTATTATTCAAAGTTAAAAAAATGCAGTTTGGATTTATTTTATGTTTAAGCGAATCTATTGGACCATTATGAATTGGTAAATTTGGACTAAATATTTATAAATATTAGTTCAAAACAAATAATTTTAGTCGCTGAACTTTCTGTACCACAACGCCAATTTGAAGGAAAATTTTTTTTAATCAAGAACTTGCATAAAATGAACTTGCAATATTTAATGAATCCAAAAAAAAGAAATAAGACGCCGAGAAATGCTCATATTAATATATATGAAGAGCACAAACAATGCATCAAACAGTAGTTGTTGTGAGAAAGCATTATTATTATATCAACATGAAACAATAACATTGAGTAGCAACAAGCAGTAAATGACGACAACGAAACATCATAATAAAGATTAGGCTTCGATTTCGCTCCATGGAAATATTGCAACAAGTCTTTCAATAAACGAATAAACTTTTACCTATCAAGCTGTTAAACCTTATCATTCATTATCATTCCTTATTATTCGGTGTCTTCGACATATCACGTTACGAATACATGAATAGACCATAATGCACCTGGTTTAATGCGACTATTAAATTTGGTGATTTTGTTAATTCGTAGAGTGCGTGGATGCAGTGCTAACCAAATATGGGAAATTGATGTGAGTCCATATTTGGTTAGCGCCCGCACCTACCATACAATTGGCTTACCAAAAATGGTATTTGATCTAATTGAGCATCCAATAATCAGACTCTAAAAAAAAATGCGTTGGTCATATGCTCTATTCATCCCATAATTGGAAAGCTTGGTAACAATATTAATATCTAAATAAAAAATATAGACATATTTTGGTACTGTTGTACGTGAAAATGAAATTATGTGAATTCGCAATTCACATACAACAGTACGAGGTGGGAGATAGCAAGTATACGTTTTGCACTCAACACAATAGTCTATTTTATTAAATTTGAAATAAATGAATTTTATATAAAGAATAAATTCTTTTTCCATTCGTAGGCCCTTGAATAATTCTAATAGAAGTGATAGGTCCTTAAGTATGTAAAAGTTCACACATGTGGTGTGACTATTTTATGAGTATGAAAAAAAATCAATTATTATGAAAATTCCGAGTAAAATTTTTAAAGGCCATATGACATTATGGTTAAAGGATCCAATAACGAAATTGGCTAATTAAAAGGAATTTTGCATCCAAACACTTCGTTTTTGTTTGATTGGTGCAAATTATAATTATTATTACTTTTTTAATAAATATTAAAGTTTATTATTATTATGTTAGAAATACAAACCATTACTTGTACAAACGTTAATCCTTTAAATCCAATGAAAAATGTTGGTATGTTATAATTTATATTGGTGGGAAAATTTTAATAGCAAAAATCATAGCTATGTATAGAAAAATTTCAAATTAACCATTCATATTAATGAGGATGCACCATTATTATATTGCCGTGAGTGTTTTTCTTTTACAGTAGTGTTTGTTTACTTCTGTAGATTCGCAGATTCAATATATTTGCTCACATAATATTTTACTCTGTTTATTTGTCAGATTCTGAACAGGATTATTAAAGGAAAAACAAGATTTATTTGTTTATTTTTGATTTATTGGATATAATAAAATTATAGAAATAAAATTTCCTATTATGTCATACGAAAAATCAGGTAGATAATTTTTTAGGTGAGGTGCTTTAAATGGGCAAATAAATCACTATTGGATAGATTTTCATGGGGAAAAGTTTCAAACTTTATTTTGTTTTAATTCCTTTATTTTTGATATTAACTTTTTCGCGTGTAACGCGTTAATTTTAGGACTGAACATAGTGTGCTCGAATTCTCCACAACAACATGCATGGCATATCAACGGGGTAAGGTCGTAACTTTGTAGAGAAAGGCCTTGGCAAGCATTTTTGGTATTACATAGGATTTGAGGATCTACATGACCAATAAAAAGTTGCAGGACTAAGTGACTTGCACTCATATTAATATTAGTCTGACATTTTATCCCCTCCCGTGTTCGTAGAGGTAAAGCTTCAGCCTGGCGAGGATAAACGCAAAGGTATCTCTGATCAGCTGGTTTGTCGATCTTAAATTATTCCGACCAATATCTAAGACCGATAATAATAAAGATGTAACCTGAAATTGCCTGTATGGGCTGATGATGATAATTAATAAGTAATAATAATAAGAGATTTTTTGCCGTTTTGTTTATATCAAGTAAAGCCATATAAACTTTTTAATCTTTTGTTTTTGATTAAAAAAAAAACATTAAATATTTTGTACAATGACTTGAAGCAAGGATTGACAAGTATTCCAATACTTATCGTTGCTAGATGAATTATTATGAGCCTTATCAATTATTTCAAAGATTGACAATAAAAAAATGTATAAACATTCTTTGATTTTGGAAAATTTTGATAATGAAAAGAATGATTGTGATAAAGTAAAAAATATTATAGCCAAATAACTTGATTTTGTCGTTGTTGAACTGGGTACAAAAGATTTCTATAAAAATATAGTGAAGAAAAAATTTTATAAATGTACACTTGTGTAAAAATAAAAAATTTAAAATAAACACAAACCTTTATTATTTTTATTATACTTTGTACAACTCTTAATTCATTAATTGTTTCAAATGATGATGATGACGATGAACCTTTTGATTGATCATTATCATCATTATCAACTTTATTCGATTTTTTTCTGATTGCTGGTTTGTCCAAAATAAGATTTAGAGCTGATAGGATATTAATCAATGAATACCTAACACAACATAGAGATGTTCTTTCTAAATATATGATCAATAAAATAAAATAATTAAATAAAGTTTATAATTATCTTAAACAAAGTTTTTGATAAGGAACCTTCAATATCTATTTCTGAAATGGCCATTTCAAATAACTCTTTATTATTATTATTTTCATCAATTAACAATTCAGATGCTGATATTATTCCATAAACTATCAATTTTCTTATCATAGTATCTAATAAAACATAGGCTTCTTCTTCAACACTATTTGCAAGCACATAACAAAATGCCAATGGTGCTACTTTTCTAAAAAGATTACGTAAATATGGTTTTGAAGCATTCTGATTATTATTTAATGCCTTATTATGGTAATATGTTATTATCATTAATTAGAATTATGAGAGAGATTATAATAATATATGAAAATGTTATTATTAAAAAAAAGAATTTTTGCATACCAACACAAATTTCTCACACCAACAAGAGGAAACTTGACAAGCCTCTAAAAATAAAATCAACTGCTTCATCTTTTTAACTTGATTTGATAAAGTCACGCCAGATTTCTTTACATTATCCTCATCAGATGGTGATTCAGTGTATTCTTTATCTGAAAAATTACAAAATGAAAAGAGTAGTGATGGTATTGCGGGTTTTGATACCTCAAAACCAAAGCATGATGAACAAACTTCAAAGAATTGATATAGATAAAGTTGAGTTGCCCAATCTATGTTTATTATTGTTATAATTTTTGTTAGTCATATAATATTAATAAACAAATCGAGGTTTAAACTTACTATAATCCTTGGAATCTTTATATAATTCTTTAATCGAATTAACGTTAGAACGATGGTACTCTAATAAAATATATTTAATAAGTTAATTAACACAACAATGATTAAAACACATTGTTAAAATACAGACCATTTTGATCGTAATCTTGTGGTAATGAAATGAAATACTCTGTCAATAATCTTAACAACTCTTTCAGTAAGAAATGAATATCATCAACAAGTGTTATAGATATTGATGGTGACGATGACAATAATAATTTACGTTGATCAAATAATCTAATTAAATGATTTAACAATAAAAGAGGTTCTGCCCTAATCAACCACCAACTTTCACCTAATATTTTTATAAAATCTGTTGTTGTTGTTGTTGTTGTTGTTGTTGTTGTTGCAGAAGGAGAAAAAAACAATAATGATTTAAGTGTGGTAATTGATAAAGTCAAAGAATATTTTCTTTTACTGATTTGTGATGACAATATGGGATTGGAAAATTGTAAATAGGGCAGTACACAATATCTGATATATTCAAGTAAATCTATGATTACTATAACATCATCTTTGCTTTTACTATTAATACTACTCCATTCACCAATTTCATCAATTTTTAATTCAATTGCAGGTTTTTTTAAATTCTTTTTATTCATCGTTGCTTGAATAATAAAGTCAATCAAATTCCTTTGTTCTTGATGCGTCAAACCATCTTCACTTTCATCAATTGTTGATAAAACATCTTTTAACACTTGAATAATAATAGCTGGAGATCTTGATGTTTGGTTATACCAACACAAAGATCCAAGTTGATTTATGATATCAAGTATTACAATGCCTTGTCCTTTATTATGTATAACCTCACCAATCAATCTATGTAATGTATAATATGGGGACACAACTGATGTCTTTTTATGAAAAATAATAAAAAATCTATTTAATAAATAAATTCATTATTAATATCTATATAACGGTTAATTTAATTAAACCTTGAAAGCGTCTTACAATGATCAAAGAATCAACCATTTTAGCTTGAATATTATCTGCTTTATCGATTATTTCTTTGGATTTTGATGTGGCAATCAATTGATTGCAAATTATAGTAAGTTGATCATCTAAAGAAAATGGCCAAAATTTCTCTGATCCAAATGTTGGTGATTTAATATTCATTGAAGAAGGTCTAAGTACCGATTGTATTAATTGAAAATGAAATTAATAATGTCCCCAATAATTAAAAAAATTTTATAATATTAAAATATATATTACCGATCAGATATTATATAATCTCGAAATATACATTTCATATGATGTGATAAAAAATCAAAAGCTTTGAGCAATATGTTAATTTCCTTCTAATGCGCATATATATATATGTATGTGTATGTATTTAATAAAAATTCAATATTAATATAATATTTTAACAAAAACTTTATGATCATGATTTTAATAAACTATTACCATCACTGAAATATTTCCTTGAGAACTTGACCTTTTAGCTAATCTTTTTATACTTTGATATAATTCGATTAGTAAACCATGTTCAACTATTAACTTCGAAAGCAATTCAATATCATCAATTCTAAAAAAAAATTATTTAAATAAATAAATGAATGAATTGAATAAAATAATAATCATTGTTATCAGGAAAAAAAAATTACCTTGGGAATAAATCAATATACTGTATCATCAATTTAAAGAGTGACAACCATCCAGGTCGACCAACTTTAACACTTTCCATAACCCATTTGCAACAAATTTCCAAATCTTTTTTTTTAAATAAAGAAGAATTCATCTTATAGGACAATTCAGAATCTTCTAACAAATTAACAAATGAACCATCATATTCAAAATTTTCATATAAAGAATAACATATATTGACAAAAGCTAATTCGTGCGTTTTAAGGTCTACTACATCGCCTCCATCTAAATTATTGCTATTGCTAATATCCAAATTATTAAATTTTTTTTGTTTTGTCTTTGTCATTTTTTTATAAAGCTCTTTATCATTATGTAAACTATCAAGAAACATTAGTAAATAACAATAACAACAATAATTGTTATTATTATATTTAAATTATAAATCATTTACCATTTTGCTAGCCTAGTTGATATTTCTTTTGAATAACTTTTCTAATTAAAAACAAATAAATATCAATTATCCTATTTATTTTAAACGACCTTTTTTTTTTTAAAAAAAATAATTACCTGGGATCTTGTAGAAATATTATATTTTTCAAGATCATATTGATCAATATATTCCAAAAATTCTTTTAAAGAATCATTTTTTTTCAATATCTTTTGATAAAAGTCTAAGTAATAAAATAAAATAAAAATAAGGATTAATCAAATTAATATTAATCAATATATAATCACTAGATGAACATTTACCTGATGATTTGAGATTTATTACAACATTTTGAGTGATAAAGGATTTTGCCAATCTTAGTTGAGTTGATTGATACTCATCATAATCTTCTTTGAAAGGAAATGCTATCTCATCAATGAAATTTATAAGTAAGTTTAATGTTTTATAATTGTTTTGTTTCTTCCTATTTGCATCTAATTGTAAATCTTCTATTGTGCTGATTGAAATTAATTTTCATTAATTATACAAATACAAATAAATAGTTAATCGGTAAAAAATTAGTAATAGTAATAATAATAATAATATTAAATTAATTGATTAATAAGATTAAAATCATTATAATAAAATTACTTTAAATGATAGTTGATCTTCTTTCTAATTTCCAAAGTTTTTGAATTTTCATAATTTATTTTATGTAAAGTTGTATAATTATTTATTGAATTTTTTCTAAAATCATTATAATAAAATGGAGTTGAAACCAAATTGTTCATAACTACTTGACAATTATTATTGACAATGTTAGTTGTAGTCTTTCTATTTATTGATGGTGATGATGATGATGGTTGATAATAATTATCAAGATCATTAAGAATGTTTTTTCCAGATGTCATGAAGTATAAATTATTTTTGAAATGATTAGCCATAGAACGAAATAAATCAAGTTGAGTTTCTTCATCTATTATATTAATATATTAGAGAAATTTAATATAAAAAATTATATAATCTCTTTGCAACTTTTTTTTGTAAATATATGAAAACCAAAAATTATTATTACCAATGATATCATTATAATGGTATGATAATAAATTTTGAATAAAATCAATTAAATCGTGTTTTTTATCATCATTAAGACTATTTGAAACATTAAGTGATGGTATTATTACATGTTTAATTCCATACATTGGATTACTGGAAACTATTTCATTGATTATCTTGATAACATTCTAGTATAAGAAAACATTAGTTAATTAATAAATGATTAAAGTGTAAATATAAAAATATATTATATTATATTTATATCAATAATAATATTATTATTACCAAACGTGGAATCATATATAAGGTTCTAATTAGTTCCTGATCTAATTCCAACAATTCAATAAGTTTTGTATAAAGCTCAGAATTCAATTGAAAGATAACATCTAAATTTAATTCTCTGTGTTGATAAACACCTAAATAATAATACCAAAGAAATACATAATCAATCAACTAATCAAGAGATAATAAAATATTATGTAAAAGAATATCAGAAGAACCTTCTGGATTAAGATAAAGTTGCCATATTTCAAATATGATTGAATGTACAATAAATTTATTATTGTTGATGGTATGACTTGATGACGAAGAATAAATTAGTTTTTGTAATGGCTCCTGAAGAACTTTACAGGCTTCTTCTCTTTTCATAAATAAATCATTAATAAAAACAATAATTATCAATTTTAATTGAACTTTTAATTATTAATTATTTTTTATTAAAAAAAATTTTCATTACAAATCATAATGTTTTTCTTCTTCAAAACCATCAAAGGCACTTGTAATATCGCTCTAATTTGAATAAAAAAATTGATAACAATAATGTTATGGTTGTTGTTATTTTACATACAAATCTATGCCTATTAATTGAAAACATACTTTAAAAATATCGAATAAAGACATCCTTTGATAATTAAAAAGATCTCGTATTTTTTTGTTTGTATAACTCGTTGATTACGTAACACGAATGGTAATCTGCAAATTAAAATTGAAAACATTGATTTGAAAAGGTAAGAAAATAAATAATACTGCATGTTTATGTTAGATGACAATGATCATTAAAAATTAAAAATTACAATTATTTTTTTGCCAAAAATCATTATTTTAGTATTAATCATTAATTTTGGATCAAATCAATTACTTGAGCTTGGATGTTTGGAACAAACAGATGAAATATTTGCAACATGTTCAAATACAAAATTATCAAGAGTCGAATGATTTTATAAAAGATCCTATAAGGGTTGTTATTGGAAACAAGTATTTATAAATAAAAATGTTGAAGAAAATTTATATTGTTTTTTTTTATTTTATGTTGGATAAGAAGAGGGTAAATTGATAGCAGTTCATCAGTTGGCACAAGAAGACTTAACACCACCTGTATTGATGTTTGTTCAATCAATTGAGCATTCACTTGAGAATTATAAAAAATTGATTAAATTGTTTTTAAATTTTTGATAACTACTCAATGGCATGTGATATGGATTTCAAGAAGTTATAAATTTATTGATTTCCCACAATCAATTCAAAGTTATATTCACAGAATTGGCAGAATTAATAGAGCTGGTAAATTAAGCAAAGCGATTACATATTATGCAAAAGATGATGCTCCATACTTAAAAAGATGAATATCAAATTTTTTTTGTTAAATATTACCCATTGACTTTTCTATTTATTATTAAAATATTGACTCTAGAATATCATAATATAATTATAATAATAATATTGTAAATGTAATGAGAGAATCAGGATGTGTAGCTCCGGATTTGATGCTCGAATTGAAAAACACATGAATCCAAAAGGAAAAACCAATAAAGCACAAAACTATTAGTACAAGATCTGATTATGACATTAAAAAAAAGACCAACATAAATTTTTACATTTTGATTGATCTAAAAATAGGAAATGCAAGTTCGAATAATGTCATTAATCAAGCAATTGGTTCAAATGACTTGTTATTTAGTACAGATGGATACATTTATATTAAAATATTTGTAAACTATCAATGTAAATAATGGTGCGAATTGGAAATTTTTCAAAAATATCTATTATTACAAAAAAAATCAAGAAATTTGGTTAGCATAATAAATGTATAGATAACTTTTTTTCATCCAACACTAATCAATTATATAACCTTTACTACCAAAACCTTTTATTACCCTTAATATCACACATATATAAATATTTTGCCATTAAATAAAATAAACAGAATTTTATATTTTAAATATACTGCAGCCCAAAAATCATACAATAAAATTATTGAATGTGCAATGAAAAAAAAAATTCAAAGATATGACAATTGTGAGAAATATAATATCATTATTAAATATAATTATTTATAATCTCATATTTAATATCACAACTATATAGTAAAATATAAATAATTTTAATAGATAATAAAATGACTTATTCAAATAACTAAATCAAAAATCTTCTGGTATAGTTAATTCAATCTGTTGAGAATCTAAAAAACATTTATCATAAGAGTAGATATTAATAAAGATTATAAAATTTAAAAATTAATTAAAATGAAATAATCAATGATTAAATGTTAATTACCATAAATTTCAATCATTATTTCATTGGAATTCACAGGTTGAGGAAGGTTTGTAAAATTCATTAATCTGCTAGTATAAATTGCATTTGGATGAATTGCTACAGGAATTGTTGAAGGATCAAATTTTATTTCATTCATTTCATAAAATATTTTTCTAATTGATTTTAATTCATTCCGCTGTTTTTTTAAATACCCATAATCTTCTAAATTATTTATTATATGATCATCAAATGAATCATTCCAAGTTTTAATAATCTTACGAATTTCTTCAGCAGTTGGGCGTTTATCTGGATTAGCATCCATGCATCTGAATGCTAGTTCAATATATAATTTTGGTGTGTTGTTTGAAAATCCTGGTCTTAGACCTTTACATACTTTTGTTGCAAGGTCTTTATCATGTAGCACATTATTAAAAGGTTGTTTACCAGTTGATACTACAGACATCAGAACTCCAAAACTATATATATCTGATGCTGTTGTATATGGTTTCCCTCTTAAAACTTCTGGTGCAGTATATGGCATTACCCCAAATATACCATTTTTATTTGACGATGATGTTTGACTAGCTGGGCATGATAATCCTAGGTCTGCAATATATGAATACATCTTTTTTTTATAATGAAGAATATTACCACTATGAAGGTCATGATGAACAATTTCTTTTTCATGAATATCCTTTAAACCTCTAATAATTTGTCTAAGAATATCAATTTTATCTTCCCATTTTAAATTTTTGAAATTTTCTTTTAAATAATTTTGAAGACTTCCATCTTCTATATATTTCATTACAAATATATATTCTTTTGTAATTGGATCTTGTGTTAATCCATATACTGTAATTATATCTACTTTATCTTGAAACTTAATATAATTTTTGAACTAAGACAATAAATAAAATATTTAATTACAACAATAATCTATAATATTTTAAAAAAATCTGAATAAAATAATTTACCTCATTAAGAAATTCATCAGAAATATTCTGTGAATTAGGTAATTTTCTTAATGCCACAGTCAAATCTTTACTAGTTCTTTCGTTAATTTCATAATCTACACTTTTCTCGCCATTTAACCAAGTAGCTTTGTATACAGTTGCAAACCCACCTTTACCAATCTGTTCAATATTTGTTAAATCACTATAAGAAATCCATAGAAGATAATAATTATTATCATATTTTGTTGCTTTAAGCTGTGTACTTTTAATCAACTCATCTAATGCTTCATTGCCACTAGTCCATCCTTTAGTCAATAGTTTTGGATCACATGATTGGCACCATAAATCATTAGTATTATATCTATTGCAAGTTGGACATTCTCCGAGCCTTCTTTTTCTTTCCTTTGAATATTGATCATTTAAAGAGTTTTCCATCTCTAAATTTTTGCATGATTGACACCATCCCAAATTAGTATTATATCTATTGCAGATTGGACATTTCCCAAATTCTTTGTTTCTTTCCTCTGAATATTCATCATCATCATCATCATCAGGATGATGATGTTTATTTCCATTTAAAGTGTTTTTCATCTCTAAAGTATTTTTTATTTGTATAATTTTGTCAAAATTTTTTTCTAAAAATTTTCAAATTTCAGTTTTCAATTTTACATACGTACGTACAACATGAGAAAATTATTGAAACATTTTTCGTTGTAACTATTGTAACGCAAATTTAATTATAATTTGTTGAAACAAAGATTCGTTCGAAACAAGTTTTGACTGTGTACTAATACTATTTATATTAGAGGTCATATATAATTTCAACGATTATATTTACATAGTAATAATAGCCACAATTAATTTAAATTACCAACATCTATGATCGGAATTCACTAATTAATATTAGAGAAAAATTTTATTGTGAAAAAAATGTTTTATTTTATTATTATTAAAATAAATATGCAAATATAAAATTGTTTCCACATTTTTATATATATATCACTTATCACCAACAATTTCAACATCATAATGACTTTAATTTTCAAGAAGATTATCCTATGTCATATGATATAGAGTCAAGCTTTTCTAATTCTGCCAGTTGCTTAAATTCTTTTAATAATCAAAGACCAAATAAAACTGAAAATGGATGGGAATGTATTGTTACAAAAGAAAACGGTAATCCTTGTGAAGTAAAATTTCTTCATAACAAATACACTTCTTCAACCACTAAACAATTTGGAATTAATCCATTATTGTTAAAGGAATCAACTAAGATTTTTTTTGAAATGTAAAGAAGATTCTTTCCTACTACTAAAAAATCATAATTAATTTCCATATTGTTAATATTAAACAACTATGCCTTTTTTGTAAAATACTTTCCCATCACTAAAAAATCGAAATTAATTCAATATTAATATTTATCAATCAAGCTTTTTTCGAAAATATAAAAAACGCAATTTGGAATTAATTAAAGAAATCCCTTTTTAGAAAATATAAGAAGATGATGCTTCACTATGCTAAAATTAATTCGATTATTTATCATTTGACAGTTTTTGAATAGTGTTAAGATGTAAAATATAAAAAAAGAAATCATAATCGTAACAATAATAATAATGTGTGTTCTATTTTTGTTGTCAATTGTTTTATTAAAAACGTAACTTCCACTGAGGGAACGATCAGAGGAAGAAAGAAACATCTTATTTTGAAATTTACGATAAGAGGACATCAAGAAAACAATTTCCTCTTCAGAATGAATTTACTCCAACCGTCCATAAAACTCGAGGATTTACCCTGCCACACGTAGTATTGAATATTGATGGAAGTAAGGACAAGTATATGTTGCAATGAGTCAAGCTCCCTCCTCATTAGAAAAACTACAGATCCTTGATTTTGATTATCCGCAATTAAAAATTTCTAGGACAGTTTTAAAAGATTAGAAGCTATGAGTATACATGAAGTCGAAATTATGCCATATCACATGATTTATTATAATTATTTATTCATCTTGACCAAAATTTAATGAAACACAGTTATTAGAATAACCTCAAAGACAATTCGAATAATGGCGATTTAATGTCATAGCATCAATAAATGGCGAGATATATAATAACCAAAATATCTCAATGAGCTGTGATTCATATTTTACGAATTACATCTCATTAGACTTACCTCATCGAGAGGATTCGAATGGTAGTTATTTTATCCAAAACAGCAGGGATATTGTCCGAGATATGAAAATTTGAAGCTTTTGGTTGATTTTTCTGTATGTTCAGCCTGTTGTATGATGTATTTTGACTTTTAATTCGACTTTTGGGTTTTAATTACGACTTCATGTATAGTTATGAGTATTTATGGGTTGCAAAAGAAAATATAATTTGTATTGAAAAATTGAATGAAATTATGATATAATGAATTTTCAGAAATAAAAGAAATAAAACAAGCTAATACTTGTGTAGGATTTGGCATTTAACAGCAAAAACCACCAAAATTGATTTTTTTGAATAATAATAAATTATAACAACATTAAACCCTGTTTACATAATAAAAAAAAGAGGACACAATACTCGTTGAAACAAGGTTTGAATGTAATTAATAAATATTAATTTCAGAAAAATATATTAGTATTAATATTTAATATTAATATTATTTATTTATTCCGAGATCACCAACCAATTATAGGATGAATTCGGATATACTTTTTTTCATTTATTACTATTTCTATTTCTATTACTATTACTTATATTACTTAGTACAATCCCAAATCCCAAATAGGTAAAAACAATTTAGGACTTTTGATGTGTAAAAAATCCCAAACCACACAAACCCCTGAAATACTGTGAAACTAGCACATATTTAATAATTTTTATTCATGAAATTCAAGGTTTATGATTTGGGATCGGGACTTGACCTTTTGAGTTTGGGTGGCAAGTATAATTGCCATCACTATTGGCAATGACGGTTACTTAACTTTGAAGATTTATGTGCACGGAGCACATATCTAATCAAATTCCACAATTTTTTTTATATTCTTCGCCTATATCTTTTTATTGTGGAATATGATTTTCTATCAGCTTTTAAGCTGTACCACTGTGTACGGAATTGATAAATTTTTAAATATAAACAAAGGTGTAAATGAACGTTGTTCTTTTCCATAATTAAAATTAAATTTGTTAACACTACATCCGAAAAACATTACAGAGATTAAACAAATAATGTACGTACAACTTGCAAACAAAAAAAAACATGCAAATCTCTACCAATTGCGTATAATAAATAAATATATGATATTTGATACTGTTTTCTGGATGTGTAATCTATAACTTTCAATTGGTTAAATAACTTGCTTGCATATTTGGTTTAACTGTTCAAATAACCGGGAAACTATTTAGTTCAAAAAGATTTGAACCAATTAAATTGCTAACACTGAATTCCATTGTTTCCGGAATTAGAAATTATGCAATTCCCGGATGTAACGTCATATATTAAATATTTGTAAAAAGCTTGCATTAGTTACGCGACGAAATTCCTAGTTACTATTACTATTATGTTTTAGACATAAATAAAAATAAATAATATATCTTGTATGACATAAGTTGTGATTACACAAGAGAGACATTTAAAGCATAGAGTAGTTTAAAGACATAGATAACACAATCTTGTGTTAAGAACATTACTAAGAACATTACTACGTATATAAATGGCCTAAATTCAACATACTTGAAAAATAACTTTGTAATAAGTTTAACTTGAAAATAAGTTAAATAATAAACTAGTTTTGACTAAATAAAATAAACATACATTTCTTTATAAATCATTAAACAAATTATTCGCTAATAGCCAATTCATTCTGATACACATAATCAATTAATACGCTCTCCCAAATAATAATAATAATAATTGGTGACACTATTACTATTACTATAACTTACCCGTAAAACGGACGAATTTAAAAATATTAATAATATAAGCACTCGAAATCTTTCTTTTATCGAAAATTAAATTTTTTTTTAAAAAAAAATTTATCCTTTACAAATTTTTCGTACAGATATTGAAAAAGGTTTATTTATTTATTACTAATAAAAAAATGGCAGAAAATAACTTTGATAGTGTTAGAATAACAATCGATGACACAACAACAGATACAAATAGTATTATTGAGCAACAAAATAACATTGATATACATAGATGTCATATTGACCAAATAAAATATAGTCCTAATTTAAAGTTTTTTGTAACTCATAGTGAGAAAGATTCGTCTATTGTTGGATGGACCATTGATGACGAAGGAATTATCCAGCGAGATAATTGCTTTGATATTGCAGATGATTTTAAAAAACGTTCCTTTTCTATAAGAGATGTTTCTGATAACAAATATATAATTTTATATCAACAATATACAGGATGTTTTAGTAAGCAATTATTAATTAACTGATATATGTATTTTATTATTATAATAATCAAAATAATAAATCATTTAAATTAACTTTTTAGAACTTCTTAACTTTATAAAAAAATACAGTTTTATAACTAATGATAAAACAGAAGTAAAATTTTATGATGGACATTTTATTACAAATAATGATTTGTTAATGATTAAGAAAAATAATGGTGATGATGATATCTACTGTTTATACAATTTTTCATATGTGAGTAATGATGACAATTACGATCCAAATGATAAATTGGTTCATAAATCAACATATTATTATGATGATGGTTATAAAGATAATGGTTCTAAGGTTTTTGTAAATTCTGGCAATTTTCTAATTGGTACTGTGGATTCATTTATATCACAATGGAAGGGTGTAACAATGTCATATCAAGATAATTATTATTTAGTATATAAAAATTACACTAATATTATATTTAATAAAGATAAAACAATAATGGTGCTATATTATGGGAATAGTTCAACATTAGTTGTATATTCATTAAAAAATAATATTATTGTTTCTACAAGTAAGTATTTATTTATATAATCTTATTATTTGCATGTTATAAATTTAATAAATATATTTCTATTTTGTAGTCAAATTGGAAAATAATATTGATATGGAAAAATATGATTTTATTTATCCAACAGATCAATTAGAATATTTATTAGTAATATATTATCATGAAAACACAAAATGCTATAAATATAAATTAATGGATCCTTATAATCTTGTTGATTTTATGGATATTACAGAGCATTTTAATAAACATCTCTTAAAAAATACAAATGAAAATAATGAAAATGAAAGTGAAAAAAATATTTTATTTGGACCAATTTTACCACATGGTAAAATAGCCATAGTTATAAACAATCAATTATACATTAAAGAAATAATTAATAAAGAAAAATTAGATGATATTCAACAGGAAATACATTTAAAGAACAATTATTGTTTACATATAACACAAGCATTACAAGGAATATTTGTAGCAGAGTATAAAAGACTAGAAAAATCTTCCATAAAAACTGGAAAATTAGTTACATGGTCAATAGAATATGATGATAAATTTAAAAATATTAATATAAAAGCACAAAAGATTAGTTATGGAATGGAAGAAAAACTATCAATAATTGATGAATATGGTCTTGAAAGTTCTCAAAAATTTAAATGTTCTAAATTATTAAATAATGATGATTTAATTTTATTAACAAAAGAATATATATACATTTTATCATTTGGCAACAAAGATTTCAAAATATTTACAAAATTTATTAAAAAAAAATTAAGTTTTGATGGTGGTGTTATAAAAAAGAATGATTATTTAGAAAATTTAACACAAGCATTACAAGAAATATCTGAAGCAGAGTGCAAAGGACTAGGAAACAAAATATCTAAAGCAGAGTGCAAAGGACCAGGAGACAAAATACCTGATGCAGAGTACAAAGGACCAGGAGACAAAATATCTGAAGCAGAGCACATAGGACTGGGAAACCCTTCCAAAAAATTAATTACATGGTCAATAGAATATGATAACAAATTTAAAAATATTAATATAAAAGCAGAAAGAATTAATTATGGAATGCAAGAAAAGCCATCAATAATTGATAAATATGTTCTTGAAAGTTCACAAAAATTTAAATATTCTAAATTATTAAATAATGATGATTTAATTTTATTAACAAAAGAATATATGCACATTTTATCAGTTGGCAACAAAAATTCCAAAATATTTACAAAGTTTATTAAAAAAGTAAATCTTGATGGTGTTTTAAAAGAGAATGATTATTTAAAAAATATTAAATCAGCTATTGAGAATATTATTGAAGATTATTTATTTAGTTTCAAAGATAGTTTTAACAATATTGATTATTCATATATTGATAAAGATCAAATTTCTAAACAACCACATAAAGAAATGCTAGAGATGATCAATGAGTTTTATTATTTCAACAAATTTGGAAAGGGAATGTTAAAGACAGCATTAGATACTAATAATAGTATTGTAGTAGAAAAAGTATTTGATTCTTGTCTTAAACATTTTATAAAAGATACTGATTTAAATACTAGTTTATTAAAAATAATTATATTGGAATTACCAAGATTAGAAAAAAATCATCATACTTTAATATCAAAATTCTTTAATCAGACTTCAATGATATTATTTCCATTTGTGGAAAATTGTTACAATCGGAAAAATTTTTATGATGTTATAGATGAAAAATTAGTTTATAAAGAAAAAAGCTTTTTGGATTATTATAGAAAATTTATAAATAATAGATTTATAAGATTTATAAATAAAAAGTTTATAAATAGAAAATTAGATACCAAATATGAAAAACCTTGTGTAAAATTGGTAATTCCATATCCTGGATTACTTACTTACAATGACAAATATTCAATTGGGAAAGAGTTGTTCTATAAGCCAGCAAATAGTAAATTTATTAAATTAGATACCCTAGAATTGTATAAACATTGGAATGGAAAAGCAATTTTGGATTCCAAGTGGAATAATTTTGGGTTCAACTATTATTTGGGGATTTGGGTCTTTTATATGGCATTTTTAGTATGCTTTGCAATTGCAACCTCTACTTCACCAGATCAATTATCTGATGAAAATAGGAATTCATTATTAATTACTACAATCATCCTTGGATTGCTTCATCTTAGTTTTGAAGTGAGACAATTTATTTGGAACCCAACAAAATATGTTAATGATCTCTGGAATTATTTTGGTATGACATTATTAATTATTGTTATTAGCTAAGCTAATTAATTAAATTTGATAATTTAATAATGATTATTATTTTATTTAATAGACCTTGGAGCATATTTCTTACCAATTGTTACTTCAACTCTATGGTTGTATCATAATGATTCACCAACTGTTGAGTTAGTTTCATTGTCTAATTTGTTATTAGACTTGAAATTTATGTTGTTTTTAAGAGCATTTACATACTTTGGAAGATATTTTGCAATCATTTTAGGAGTTGCTAAAAAAGTATTCTCATTTTTAATAATATTAGTTGTAATCATTCTAAGCTTTTCACATGCATTTTACATTTTGTTGAAACCAATTCAAGAGGATTATACACTAGACAGGCCTGATTTTAGAGATAATGATCCCAATAATCCTTGGAATCTTGCTTCTAAATATTTTACATATTTTACAAATGACAAATCATACAACCAGAATTCAATTATTGTACAACAACCTGATGGGAACACAAACATGTTTGCGCATTTTCACACCTCAATGCTAGCAATGTATAATTTCCTCACAGGTAAAATTCTATATTAATATGATTTTAAAATAACATTTTCAATATGTCCAATAAATATTGATTATAAATAATACCTTTTGATTTTTAATAGGTGATAGTGGAGCATTTGGATCTTGGCAATTACAAGATGAACCATATCTGGCAATATTATTTGTTGCATTTTCATTTGTTGTTGTGATATATTTAATGAATTTATTCATTGGTCTTCTTGGCAACCAAATTGAAAATTATAATGTAAATGAAGCATTTTTGGCTCAAAAGGCAAAAATCATAAAAGAGATTGAATTATTTTATTTACTTCCTTATCAACGTCGTTGGAAAGAATGGTTTCCTGATATATTGTAATTATGATTTTTTTTTCTTGTTTTTTTGTTTTCTGATAAATAATCATAAATAATTTAATTTGATAATTTGATAGATCTTATTATGCACCAGTTGAAGATATTCGAAAAAAAATTAGAAAAATTGATATTAGTAAAGAAGATCCAGAATTTCTTCCATTTATCTCTAAGAAACTTCGACAATTGGCAGATATGCCCAAGCCAGATGAAAAAAACAAAATGGTTAAAAATGATCTCAAGGAAATTAAAATGAATCATAAAAATCTTAAAAATGATCTCAAGGAAATTGAAAATAAATTAAATAAATTAAATTATAATAATGAACAGATTTTACAAGAATTATTGGCTGAGATTAAAAATTTAAAAAAATAATTATTTTTCTATTTTAATTTTATTTTAATAAAACTTTTTCTTAGAATTTTCTCAAATAAAATTTTCAAGTCCTTATCACTCTTGTGTTGCCTAATAAAATATTTTATTGTATATACAATAAGGTTAACAAGCTTTTAAACGAAATTGTGGCAGCGAGCTTTGTGTCTTTTACTTACAAGACAATAGTCTATTTTATTAATTCGGAAAAATATAAATAGGACCACCATTCTTTCCAACGACGTTGATAAGGAAGTAAATAAAATAATTCAATCTCTTTTATGATTTTTGCCTTTTGAGCCAAAAATGCTTCATTTACATTATAATTTTCAATTTGGTTGCCAAGAAGACCAATGAATAAATTTATTAAATATATCACAACAACAAATGAAAATGCAACAAATAATATTGCCATTTACCAAAAAACTATTTTTAGATGATCTGCATTACAGCCAATCAGATTAAAAAATCAGTTAGCGAAATAGAAAATTTGTTGTTAAAGAATTCATTCGAGATTTGTGCATTTCTTTCAAACCTTTTTGATTTAAAGAAATTTAATCTTGCATCTGGAAATTCTCGATATAATGTGAGTATAATATGGATTTTTATTCCGAAAAAATATTGATTACATTTTTTCTGTTATTGGAACCAGGAGGAATCCAGCATTTGGAGATAAGTTTGTTAAATCTCAGAATGAAGGGGCATATGTTACAAAAATTATAGTTCCTATGGTGAAGGCTTCACTAAAAAAATTACCAATAAAAAGTTTCGCTTTTGTTAGCACGTATGTATAATATTTTTTATCTTTTCCAGATAATTATGCATTTATATTTTTTTATTCATTTAGAGTAGAACGACAGAGTATAGCAAGTAAAGATCGAAGAGGAAAGATTGGCAAACGTCCTGACATTGTGTATATAGTGAAGCATGGAAGAAAAATTAGTGTTTGTTGAATGCTCCCGTATTTTTTCTGATAAAGATAAAGAAAAAAATGATTGGGTAAAGTTATGGTGAGAGACGAACGACGGTATGTATTGGGTACATAAAGGTTGTAAACCAAAAAAAGATGAATTCGGAATTATTGGGACGCAAATTACTGGACAAAAACTTCATCCTTATTCGAGATAAAGATGATGTAAATAGGCTTTTTAAATTACGTTCAGTTTATAATTTTGTGGATACAATATTGCTATTTCGGGTATGGATTTACTTGTTTATGCTGTTGCGTTTTTTTATGGCAAAGACACATCTAACTTTTTTTTATAGAAAATCCTAATTGTTAACCTATCATTATTATTAAATGCGGATCGTGATTTACATGGAGATAAAGAAGATAGTTCGATAGTATCCTCCCCTTCACCTAACAATTAACCTGCGTTATTTTTTATCCTTTAGTATATTTTTACTATATCAATAAAACCAACCAGTACTCGAGATTTTCATATTCATTCGAAAAAATAAGCTGATTAATTATTATACATCCGACAATTTCCCACCACATGTTGAGAATATCCAAATCAAGATTATTTACCTCTAACGATCTACATAATCAAAAATCGCTTTCACATCTTGCGTATTCTTATTTATGATAGTTATGTGATCTTCGTCTTTTCTTTGCATGTACTTATCCCGATTTAAAAATTGCATATACTGCTTAAGATTATCGGTAAATCTTCCTTGAGTTTTGCAATGATTATTTCTAGATTTGCGAGACATATTTGATTGATATATCTATATGAATTAATGATCTTAATTTTTTCGAATTAATCTCAGATAAAAAACATGGACGAACATAATTTTGATAAAATAAATGGTTACATATAGAGCCTTACTTTATTTCACGAAATAAAAATGTTGCTGAGACGACAATATACAATAAAAAAAATATAGCCCCAGAAGGACGTAAAAAATATTACATGATGCGAATACAAATAAAAAAAAAAATCCAATTATTCATTCTCCAGTTCACGTAGGGAGTATGCAATAATGTGATATACGTTTCCAGGAGGATCATCATTAAAAAACTAGAGATTGGAGATGGTGATCGCATACGCCTTTCATCTACACTTCCAGGATGAAAAATTTGACGGATATCAAGGGGAATATTATTGAATGGAAATGACAACTGATTCTGAATTGCGGTTTGGAGATCATCAACCGTTGTATCTCTGGAAATAGTAATTTTAAGTACAATACTATTGATTACGTGGGCTATTAGAAATAGAAAGACAATTGAGAGTAAATTCTATCCAATTAAATTCAATTAAACTTTGAATATTTGTAAAACTAAAGCTAACTAATATACATATATATATAAGAATGGTTGATTTTTTTATGCAAGATATTTCCTTGTTTGTATTTCTTTGGTCAAGATTGACAAGGTTTTTTATAACAAAATTACACAGACTTTACATCCAAACTTAACTTAACATTAACGTTAACATTAATTAATTAATTAACATTAGACGATTAATGACTAATTTAATCT